CCGTTCGTTGATCAAAAACTGTATAATTTATGAACGCTTTCAGCAGATTTTTTATTAATTTGTTTTTTTGTGCCAGGTGACAGCTCAGTTGAGTCATTGTCTCTCCTGACTCTCCTGTGCAAATTGCAAGTGCTAGTGCTGACACATTTTGCCACAGAAGTCTTTTCATGTTTGAGACTACATGACAGGGCTGTGTGGCCATCTCTCTGTCAAATGGCAATTTTAATATGCTATCCTGGCGTCAACCAGGCCCGATCGAACACAAGCACCTGCGGACCTTAACCAAGGTTCCCCCAAAGTCACATTCGTTAGTGAATGAATCTCAGCCAGTGGAATTGGCCTTCCCATTGAGTCTGTGGCACACTCACCCAGGGTAGGGGTCGATCCTTTGATGTTCAGCCTAAGGTAGGATTTGAACTTGGGTCTACCGATCATGAGTCTGATGCGACAACCACTATGCTACCAGTGACCGGTTACCGCTTTCAGCAGTCTATGGAATGATATACAGGGGTCTGAACCATAGTCTCAAAACGGGTCAGCTTTCAGCACCTGCCGATGAAAAAGATCATTGCATAACAAAATTTGCCAAATTATGTAAATGATAAAAATCATTTAAGTTTACACATGGACATTAATTTCATTTCTTCACTTCCTAACACATAAATGTGCATTTCTCAGTTTCCCCACTAGAGGGCATAGTGTCACAAAAAAAATTAAAATTGCAGAATATGGTGGACTTGGATTGGATTACACTTACTCCATGGCAGTGGCTGAAGAATTGGGCAATATCAACTGTGGTGGTGTTCCCATGGCGATTGGTGTGCAGACTGACATGGCAACTCCAGCATTAACTAAGTACGTACTGTCAAATAGTTGATTTTCGCTTGCAACTATTTTTTGCTATTTTCGCTGAAGGAATGATTCAGTAAAAATAAAATCCAGCAAATATACTATAATTTTACATTCAACTCGTCAAAACTCAGTGAAAATACATTCCATAAAAAACACCTAAAAAGTCTGTTCAGCAAAAATTATTTCCAGCTAAAATAAAGTGTTTGACAGTAGTGGAAAAGTGGAAAATCACCATTTGGACCACTTGCTAATAATTACGATTTCTGTACAGCCGAATTATGGAAGTAAAAACTATCTTTTGAATAGAATTTTTTACAATGTTGAAATCATACGTTTAGGAGAGTGTCATAGGTAAAACCTTTGAGTTCCCACTCAGAAAGGCTTTTACTTTTCACCACCAGTTCCCTCTTTTCATCACATTTTATAAAATAGTCCCATTTGTAGTTCTGCACTTTCCTTCAGAAGATTGAAACAAAAATAGCCGATTTTGTTGACTAAAAACTGAAAATTGACTAAAATTGTGTTTTTTAGCTTACAGATTAGGGTTCATTTCCAGAAATATTGAACAATTTAAGAAAAAAATCACTAACAGCAGTAGTCACTCAAGGTTTGGAGAATGGTTCCACGATAATTTTCTCTGCATTTATTTTACCA